CCACTTTTGGGCCCACTGAGTTGCACTGGGATTCTTCACTCTGCCCAGTACTTTCTTTAGGGCAAATAACACAGCAGAACCACGTGGGTATTTTAGTACTTTTTTTTTTTATATCTATTAAAAGAATTCTAATTTGCATGTTTGTAGTCTGTTCTGGAGAGTCAGAGAGGGCCTGATTGAGGATGGCTTTCCCTAGGCAAAGGACAGGAGGAAGCCCCTGCCCCCAGGGAGAGACTTGAGTGCCCAGTACTCTTTTTGAGACTAGGGCTGCTAAGAACAAAGGATGCCAGGTGCTATCCAAACACCCCTCCAGGGCTGGAAGCCCTTTCCGGGCCTTTAAGCAGTCTAAAGAACTGACCTGGTCTCATCATTTCACACTTCCTTCCCCTGCTCAGAGTCTGGTTTGAAGTTTGATTCCTTAGTATGGGATATGGGGAGGTGGGGAGAGAACAACTTAAAAACATTAGAAGCAATTTTCACAGTGGAGCTAAGGAAAGCCCCTAGGATTCCAAGGTTGACTAAAAATTGCAGGGGGAGGGGGATCCAGGCTAGTTTTTCTTTACCATCTTTAAGTAGCTACTGGCTGCCAGACCCAGACACATTTTGCTTTCTAGCCACGAAGACAGAGGCCCAAGCCCTGGATGATCTAGTGGCGAGGTTCTTGACCTGGGCTCCACTGACCTCAGGCCAGACAAGGCAGCAGGCTTGGCAGGGAGGGATACGCAACCTGAGGCCTTCTGTGGTTCAGGACCACCTTCCCCATTAGCAGTAGGGACCTAGTGGAGGGTGCAGAGGCCCTGCCCAGACCTCTGAGCAATGCAGCCGCAGGGTGGGTAAAGAAACCTTTAATGAGGATTCGTGGTGCAACAGGAAGATGTTGTGGAAGACCGGTGCCCAGCCCCAGCTGTCTCATGTGTACATGGCTCCATGGAGGTTCTCGAGTCGGTGCTTCTGCTGCTGCTTGCGAGCCTAAAGGAAAGAGGGCACGCTGGGAAGGGGCCATACCTGAAGGCCTGTGGGTGAAGGGATGGGGCAGGTTCTCACTGTTTTCAGGCCCCTAGCATCTGTATTGCCAAGGCTCTTGCCCCTCACTAAAGACACTGGGAAGGTGGCCAGAACCAGGGACCCTAAGGTCTACCCAACCCTGCTGAGGTGTGGAATGCAAGCATTGAGGACAGGGACTAAGGGAGCCCCATCACCACCCCCTCTGCTTACCCCAAACCCCTACCTTATCTCGTCTGTGCTCCTCATAAGTGTCATCATCAGTAGGCAGTTCATGGCGGCACAGGGGGCAGGAATTTGTCTGTGAAAAGCAGGGCAGTGTTCCAGCCCGGGTCTGGTCTTCATAAGCTAATATCAGTCCCCTGCTACCAATTCCCACTCCTACCCCTCTTCCTTCCCTGATCCCCCAACAGTCCATAAACAGAAAGAGGCTTGAGAACTGGGCCCAGGGCAGGGTGCAGGCTGGGAGAAAGGAAGCAGTACCTTGCTTAGCCAGGGCAGAATGCAGTTGGAATGGAAGAGGTGATGGCAAGGCATCTCAATGGCAGTCTCCTCCTCCTCAAATTCCAAAAGACACACGGGGCACTTGAGCTCTTTAGGAGGGAGTGCTGATCAGGAGAGCTGCTACAGGCCCTACCTCCCAGCTCCCACTCCTGAAGGACACTCTTGCCCCAACCTGGCCTGGAAAATTAAGGGCCAGACCATAGTCTGGCTGGGGTAGGAAGTGGGTCTGGCTGACCTGCCCCAAACAGCAGAAAGAATTAGTGTTCTCACCAGCCTGAGGGCCCCTGATGACTGTCCTAGGGAGGTTCTCAACCACAGTCTTAGCAGCAGGTGGAGGCAGGTGGTGATCCCAATCTACAACCAACCCCAAGTCTTCAAAGTCCATCCTATTGAAAAGTGACCTGGGAAGAAGGATGCAAAGTCAGAACCAAAGAAAATCATCCTTTCTCTTTGCCCTCACAATCCACTAGGCGTTAACAGATACATACCCTGCCCAGTTAATAGTAATCATAGCTACTCCTCAGTAGTGCTCACTAGATAAAAAGCAGTGGGAAATGATTTACAGCTACTATCAGACAAACCCAAGCACGCAGGCCGTTTATTCCCATTTCATACAGGCAACAGGCTCAGAGAAGTTATTCAGGCCACGCAGGGATAACCTGGTAAAGCCAGATTCCAAGTGGCAGTGTCGACTTCCGTGCTTGGAGTTCCTAACGAACGTATTTACTCACACCCTCAGGCCCCTACCCCGCCCCCATGACCCGCCTCCTCCCCTACTTCCTGGGGCCCTCCTCCTCCCGCCCGTGACCCCACCACCCCCCTACTCTCCGGCTCCAGTCTGTCCCAAAATCCCCTTGCCCCGGCCCGCTCACGAATGATCCAAATGATCAACTTCCCCCCGAATCTCGCCGCCGGACTAACACCCCAGACTATTTATCCGTCCTCCCCAGAATCCGCTGCCCCAGATAATCCGGCTTCTCCAGCCAGCCCCAGCCCAGAAACCTGCTGCCTGGGCCCCACCTCCCAGCCACCCACCTTGCAAGCTCCAGCAGCATGTTGGTTCGGGCCTCCTGCTCGGTATCCAACGGCTCGCAGTCATGTTCATCGAAATAGGACGCCATGGCAGCCGGGTTGGCTGACACAGCCCTCACAGCCCCCGGTACTGCGGCCTCGCGGTACTAACCAATAAACTGGCGACTTGAGTGAGGATGACCAATCAGAGCACCCGAAAGGCGGGCACAGTGGCTCGTTAGACGCACGTGAAGCGGAAGTATCAATTTTGTAGCTTCTCATTGGCTCAAAAAAGTCAGCTGACCAAAGGCTAAAGCCAATGGCAGAGCCCGGGGCTGGTCAGGAAGCGGCTGTTCTGGAGTCCGAGTCTAGGTTAGGTACCTGGAGATGACGTGTGGATCGGGTCTGTAGCACCCGGAAAAGCCAAGTATTTGGGATGTGGGGGTCCTCAGTCTGCTCTGCGGCTCAGAGGGCCTAGGCAGTGCAAGATGCTAGAGACCTCAGAGAGAGGGAGGCGCTGGCCCAGGGGCTCAGGGTTCTGCGAGCCTAGGGAAAGAGCCTGGAGTCAGGGTGCTTCCCGCTGCTCTGCCTTGGACCCCGCTGGACACTTACGCACCCGCTGGGTTCTAGTTGGTTCAGGGGTTGGCGCTTGATTCCCCCTAGATCCCCGCAAGACAAACAAAAATGTCCTGCTCATTTCTTCTGTGTTAGGCACAATAATAAAATGTGGGGCAAACCTCCCCAGCTGACAGGGGGAAGATCCCTGCCGGGGAACCTGGGGCCTTACCTGCTCCTGGGACTATCTATGTAACCTTCAGCCCATTGCTCAACTTCTCCCCTAGCTTCTGTAAAACTAGTGTCTTGAATTAAATAAGTTGTTTGCATCCCTGACTACCCATGAATCTCCTGGAGAGAGAAGGAGAGAAAAGGTTGTAGCTTTAGAAAAAACCCGTGTCTGATAATCTCAAAGACTAATTTCACTGATCCGATTTAACTGAACTGGGCATGGTAGTTTTACAGGTGATTCTATTTTTTTTTTAACATTTAATTAATTTACATTACATGGAAACAGTCTTAAGAGGATTTTTTTTTTAGGAAGATTAGCCCCAAACTAACATCAGCCACCAATCCTCCTTTTTTTTTTGCTGAGGAAGACTGGCCCTGAGCTAACGTCTGTGCCCATCTTCCTCTACTTTATATGTAGGACACCTGCCACAGCATGGCTTGACAAGCAGCATAGGTCCGCACCCAGGATCCAAACCGCCAAACCCTGGGCTGCTGAAGCTGAACGTGCGAACTTAACTGCTGTGCCACCCGGCAGCCCCTATAGGTGATTCTATTGTGAGGCAGGGTTGAGAACCACTGTACTAAATGATTTGGATGATAGCTACCATTTATCTGGCATCTAGAACCCATTACATTGATGGATATTTTACACACAGCATAAATAATCCTCACAATTGTCCTCGGAGATAAGTATCATTATCCCTTTTTACATATGTAAAACACAAGTCCCAGAAGTGGCTTGCCCATGTTTGCACAGCCTCTAAGTGGTGTTGCTGACCCTGGCAGAGCCAAGGGCTTTCCTCCTTCTTCCCCAGGAAAGGAAGAGGGTAATGAGCCCAGCCGAAGTAACAGGATCTGTGAGGGTAAAGCGCCACACAAGTCTCTGGCTTGTTCTTGTTTCTCAGTCAGCCCTCACTCTCCCGAAAAGGAACTGCTTCTGTTAAACCCTTCACCCTGAATTCCCCTTCCCACCCACACTTGAGTTTGAGATGGAGTGAAATAGCCCAGGCAGAGGCTGCCCTGCTTCCACCATCTTGGTAGGGCCTACTTTCCTTCTTCAACGGCCTTCACCCAGTGATCTTTCCTGTGGCCCAGAAGGCAGTGCTGACTTGGCCCTCTGTGGCCCTGGAGCTTTGAAAAGTCCGAATTCTTTCTTACAAGGCAAACGCCAGGCCATCCTTTGTGAGTCGGCATTGTAGCACCATAGAAGCCCTTCCCATTTTCATTGCTGCCTGCCTCATCTGTAATTTGGTGTAAAGTTTGAAGAACGTGGGCAGTGAAATTGAGGAGGAGGAGGCATTCAGAGAGGGAAAAGTCTACCTGAAGGTGACAGTCTCATGATATAAAAATCTTTGAAGTGCTTGCCTCATTGTCATACCATGTAGCATCCCACTGGTTCTCTGAGCATCCCCAAGACATCAGAAAAATAATAGATTTCATTCTCAGAGAAACAGGCCCAGAGGACAATGATTGAAGGGTCTGGTTTGGGGGCTGTTGTGTCTTTACACCTGCACTCCGAAAGGATCTGTCTGTGAGGGGTGGATCAAGTAGGGAAGGGAGAGAAGGGGGCCACCTCCCAGGGATGGAGTCCTTTGGCTGGTGGACTTTCTAAGCAGTCCTGGGGTGGAAGCAAAGCAGGATGAACCAACCTGGACACCTTCAGACATGCACACACATACACACACACACACACCAGCTTTTAACCAAACAGCAGCTTTTACTGAGCTCCAGGTGAGGCTGGCCTGGCATGGCCAGTGCAGCAGGCTGCCCTCAAGGGCCAGTCTGTGGCATGATAGGAGATGCAAAGGTGGACACATTGGGGCTGCCCTTCAGCACTCACTGGGGTGGCTCAGATGGGAGCAAACGCCAGGGTTCTCTGGAGACTAGAACCAGCCAGTGCGGTCATTCGACCTCTCCTCCAGGCCAAGCTGGGTCAGTCCCCAGGCCTTGAGATAATGCCTGTGTCCTGGGCCTGTGGGACACTGTTGTCCTTGCTTGTCTGTGGGAGAAAGACGGCCAGCAGCACAATCAGGATGATGAGCAGGACAAAGCCCACCACCAGCCCCAAGCAGATCCGGCAACGGATGTTCTCCCAGCGCTTCTTCTGGGCCAGGGTCTTGGTTGTCTTGCTGAAGGCTGAGCTCTGTGGATGCCCCCCAGACACAGGGTAGGAGTTAGTTGTTCCCCCAGAGCTCCAGAGCCAGCTCCTCCCAACCCCACCCCAGCATGGCCTAGTTTCCTCCTGAATCCTCCCCATCCGGTCTGCTCCCTTTCTCCACACAGCTTGTGCTGGGACCCTCCCAGCCTGACTCCTGGTCTTGGGCACTGGTGTAGCCCTTGACTCACAGCCCTGTGGACTCACCCCCAGTTAACAATGCCAGTCCTTAACGTTCAGGAAAGTCCACAGCTTTAAACCAAGGACTTATTACTTCATGAAGCCTACCCATTGCATATCTAGACTCAGGGTGCCTCAAGAAACCCACAGGCCCCACACTGGCCCCCAAGCAAGCCTCAGGTTCCACGAAGGGGCTGGAGACCCTGAGCACAGCCTGACAGCTCCCTCTGAAGAACCCCTGCAGCCTTTCCCTCCCTGCTCCCTGCTTCCCCAGGCCTCACACCATGTCCAGGAGTTGGTCTGAACGCTGCTCCAGCTCCGCCAGTTTCCCATCGCGTTCCAGGACCTTGTCGAAGTTGTTGAGCATGATTTCCGTCACCTCCTCCGCCTGCCGCTGGCACCGTTCCAACTCATTCCCTGCCTGGGCATCAAGCCCAAGGTCAGGGCTGCAAGAGGCCCCCATCTGGCCCTCATCCTGAGACCTAGAGGCCTCCTTGCCCCCACTGTGTTTGTGTGTGTGTGTGTGCGCGTGTGCGTGCGCACGCAAGCCTGTGTGCACGTGCACGCACACACACATGCAGTGTCTGAGTAGGGGAAACAGCATCTTTCATGTAAGGGTATGATATGTGAAGAGTGAAGGGCCGGCCTCCTGGCTGAGTGTGGCTCACCTTGGTCTCACAGGCTCCTCTCCTTGGCCATCAAGGTAGGTCCTGGGTCAGCCTTGGCTTCAAGCATCTCAGCTTACTCTAAAGTGCCTCAGGATGGGACCTTCCCAGGACCCCAGCCTCCCACAAAGCAGACACTTTTCCCACCTGCTCTAGGATGGCCTCTACCCAATGTATGCCTGCCTCATGGCTTCCCATTGGCCTAAGGAGGCAGCAAAGAACAGGGAACCAAGCTACTTGGCTAGAAGCCAGACAGGGAGGAGATCTACCCTACAGAGCTAGAAAGGTAATTTGGGACCACCACACGTCATAACCTCTGCTTAACCCCACAGACACACACAGACACAAACTGAGATCAGATCTCCCTCCCTGGGCCTCTGACTGGTCAGGCCAGTTCTGCCTCATGGCTTGACCCTACATCCACATTAATGCTCGAAGTTGATTCCCTGTCTGCCTGGGAACCTCAGCCTTCCTGGCCTCTGGTCTCCAGCCTTCCAGCTGGCCTGGATCTTCACTAGGATCCAACTCACTGAGACAAGACCAACTCATGGATTTCCCAGCCTGGGCAGCAGCCTCTCCTGACAAAATAATCAAGCTCATTTCAGAGGACTGGGAAGGGAGGTGCAGGGTCCAAGCCAGGGGAGGTTGAGAGGACAGGAGAGAGGAAGAAAGCACAGGATACAAGCAAGAAAGGAACTGGGCTTTGGATGCATGCAACTGAGAGAGACTCAGGGCAGAAGGCCCTAGCGAGAGCTGGAGGTCCAGGAGCAGGTCCAGGGACATGTCAGGGAGATGCATACCAGTGGATTAACAAACCACAGTAACTCCTCCCAGCCTTGTCCCCCACAGCCCATCCCTGTTTTCATCTCCTCCCCACAGAGCATTGGCCAAGCTCTCTTTCCTGCTAAACCGTATTGCCCATTGTCTTCAGCAAACATTTTGGCACTTGACTGAATTCCACTTAAAACCAGAGAAAGGGAAGGGATCTTGTGGTCACAGAGGGCCACCTACTCAGGCAAGAATCCTTATTCAGGATCCTTGCAGCTGTCTTGCACACAACCTCCAAGCATTCCCAGTATATGAGTCCTAGCTCCCCAACTGGACCACAAGCTCCTAGAGGGAGGGCAGGGGCCAGTGCCCTGCCTTTGTCTGCCACCATCCCGGGGAGGCAGAACAGCACTGACCATTGCACGGACTCAGTGAGGGGGTCAACTGCATTTTAGCCTGTCCAAAAGCAGCTCTGATTCTCAAGAGATGTTATCCCTGTGTGTTTATCTAGCCCAGCAGGAGTTTCGAGGGGCAGGCATCTGAAACCCAAGTAGGTCAATATTTACTCATGAGCTAGAAAAGCAACCTCTTTGAGACGGGGCAGGCAAACCACAGCAGAGGGGTGCACTCACAGACTGGGGGAAGCAGTAACTGGGGAACAAGGAAGAATGATGAAGAGAGCAGAGAAACTGCACTTGTCTCTACCTTTTCCTGAGTCAACCATCATCATTGCTATTATTACTGCTATTTTACTCAACAAGGCTCCATTATTTGGAGCCTGTCACATTCAAACAGTCCAAGGCACGCACACACCCCCCATTCAAATAGTCCAAGGCAAAAACCTGGAAATGGACAAAGATTCGAAAATGAGAATCACTACTAAAGATGGGTGGGACACTGGATATTATTTTTTCTACTCTGAATGCTACAGCTGTTGTTATCTTATTCTCCAACATGGGGTGACGTTGGGTCACATTCTCCAGGAGAGCTGGCTGTGCCTCCTGCTGCAGTCTGTAGCCTCCTTCCCCCACTACAAAAGTCAGCCCTTTCCGGAGCCAAGATGGGCCCAGGAGTAAAAAAAACATTCACTCCAGGGAGCACAGAGGCCTCAGGCTCAAGTCTCTGGCCCTCCTTGGCCCCACTCAACCAGAGGAAAACAGACACTGTATGCACAGGTCTCTGCTGGCACAGTGAGAAATAAAGAATTACAGGTGTGGAAGGAGGTAAGCGACCAGAGGGCAAGGCCACGCCGCCTCCTGCCACAGTGAACTCAGCATAGTGCCTAGCACACAATGGATGAGCAGAAAATATTTTCTGAATGAATTGCGCCTGTTCTTAAGAAGTCACTATAGGTTGGGGGAAAGAGACATATATGAGACAATCAGAGAAAGTAAAGAGTTACACTGTGAGATACAAATAGTGAGGGTTGGAGTGGCCCACAGAGAGGGGGATTCTTGGAACTGCGATGGACAGGATGTGAGCCCTTGATGGATGGGGTGGAAGTGGGGCATTCTCGGCATGAAGAGACAGACAGACGCTCAGGACAGTGATGGAGCAGGCAGCGGGTAAGGGTGGAGGGGCAAGAAGGGGCCAGAGAAAGCAGTAAAAGTCAAGAAGAGGAAGCTCCCTTGGAGGGAGGGATAGAAGGAGAACTAGTGTAGGTTTCTGAGCCAAGGGTAACACTGAAGAGGTGCTTCAGGATAATTTCTCTCTTGGTGGTAGACTGGCATGGACAGAAGTGAGAAAACTCAGGGCAGAGAGGCCACCCAGAAGGGGTGGAGAAGTGCCACCAGCAAGGGTATGAGGAGATGTCCGCCAGGCTAGCGGGGAGCACAGAGCAGAGAGAGGAAGGGAGGGTGAGACAGGAACTTCCAAGCCCTGCCAAGGGCCTGCAGGACTTAAGGTTTCGAGCCGGGGGAGGGAGGGGCAGCAGCGTTGTTGGCAGACAGAGGGTGGTAGTTACACAGGAAATGTTCTTGATAGACCGCTACCCTCTGAAGAGAAGATTCCTCTTTGATCTGAAAACAAACCTCTCAAACACCTCCCTGTCCGAACTCTCCTGTCTCCCCTCTCTTTTGGTTAGTGCCTAAGACACCCTCTTCCAGCTGTCATGGTCATCATAGTCAGATGGCCCCGGGCAGCAACCGGGTGTATCAACTCCTTCCTGGGTCAGCACTCACTCACGTGAGCTCAGAGACTAAGAGCAGTTCTTTACATTGGGGCCCTGGGTTCCTTCAAATCCTGCCTCTGCTGCTCACCAGCTGAGTGACCGAAGACTGAGGACATGACCTTTCTGACCCTCCACTTCCTCATCTGTAAAGTGGTGACAATAACATCTACCATAATGTTGGCTAAGGCATGTGACATATTATAAATAAAGTGCTTAGCACAATACCTGACACATACTAAATGCTCAATATATAACAGCTATTATTATTGATGTAGCTCAAGTTTCCTTAGTTTATTTTTTTGCAGTCAGATCCCAAGAACTACACAATACTTGTGGTCAATAAAACCTCTTATATATACACAGCCCAGCAAGCTCTTCCTTATCGCACTTAATTGCTTCTAACCTAAATAGAGAACTTGACATGGGCCTTTGATAACCTACATCTAGTTTATTTTCATCAGGCACTACAGGCTGTTGAGAAGGTTTTATATCTTGACAGTAATAACATCCACTATTCAACGGGCACATACTCTGAGCTAAGCACTGTGCTGCTAGCTGTTTGCTTTATCTCATTTAATCCTCACAACAATCCACTGAGGACAGTACTATTATCCCACTTTTATAAGAAACTGAGGCTCAAAGGGGTTAAATCCACCCATCCAAGGTCACAGAGCCAGTGAGTAGAAGATCTGAAAATTGAACCAACATACACTCCAAAGATCACATTAACCTTAACCCCTGTGCTCAGCTGAATGCAGGTCGAGGTCAAATGCTTTAGCTGGCTTGTTAAAGACTCACTAGACCCCTTGATGCTGCCAACTCAACTTGTATATGTGTGAGGGAGGTCCATGGCTCAAAACCCAAATTCTTTGGACAGTGCATGAGAGGACCATCTATAAGATGAATGAATTCAAGTCACTACCCATTCAGTTTCCATCTTTCCCATCACTTTTTTGTTCCTACTTTATCCCTGTACCCATCACCATGTCTGGCACAAAATAAATGCCCAAGAAATACTTGTTGATTGAATGAACGAGAGACGAAGAGAAGAGAAGGGAAAGGAAGAAGGACCAGGGAGGGAAGGGGGATGGGAAAAAGGAAGGGAAAGATTGAGGGGCAGAGAAAGGGGCAGGAGTGAAAGAAGAAACAGAGGATGGGGCTAGGAGATGGGTAGGAGAGAGAGGTCAATGTACCCTCCCCCAGGCTCTGATCCACTGTTTGCCTCACATGAACCTGTAAGAGTCCTAGAGTTTTCCAGTCCCCCCCAATAAATTGTCCTGGCCTCAGCCTTCATTTCAGGAGCTTCCTCTTCTCCCCAAGTGCTAAGAGTCAGCTGGAATCCGACCCCCAGGCCCATCTGATCCCTTGCCCTCCATGCTAGGAAGTGGGCTCTGGGCTCTGTCGCATTCTCCAAGCCTCCCTCAGTTTCCTGGCGTGGCCTTAGAGCTCAGCACCATCTTCCTGCCCTGCTTCCTCTTCCTGCCTCCAGTTCCCTGGAGATGAGGCCATCCAGGCATCACGACCCCTAGCCAGGCCACATCCACTACACTTCTGCCAGCTCCTCAGTGGCCGATCTTAAAGCTCCAAGCCTGCTTCCTGCCAGGCCCATCTTCCCAGAGGTCCCAGAGAAGAGGGGAAGCAGTGGCACCACCTGCTTCTGATACCTTTGCCATGGAGATGGCAAGTGAGGACAGAGGCCAGAGTCTGCAGCAGGAGTGGAGGATGACTCAACTCAGGAATGTGTCCCTAGTTATGGGTTAGGAGGGACTCAGGCCTAAGCCACACTCTGATAACTTCAGTGGAACTTTTATAGTAAACATCTTCCTTTCTTTTTCCCCAGAGGAAGGAGTTTGCCCTCCAGCACCCTGCCACGGGGCTGGCATGGCCCCCACCACCCCAGCTGCTCAGGTTTCCAACTCCCAGCCCGGCTTGGCTCCTCGCAGCTCCAGGAAGGGCTGAAGAGGTCATCACATTACCTACCACTTTTGGAAGCAGGTTTTGAGTGCCGGGCGGGCCTCTGTCATTAACCTCACAAAGACCCAGCAAGGCAGGTATTGCTGACCCCACTTCACAGATGCGGAAGAAAGGCTCAGGGACGTTAAGTGAGTTGCCCCGGGTCACAGTCCCGGTAAGTGGCCACCACCAGGCTCTCAGCCTGGAGTCTGACTCCCAACCCGGTGCTCGTAACCACTTCGCTCAGGGAAGTGGGCAGCCCGAGTCCCGCTCACTCCGCCCGCACAGCCCGGACCGGGAGCACGCCGCATTTTCCCTCCCGGGGAGCGCGGGGAGCGGAGGGTCTGGCCGCGGTCACCTCGCCGCCGAGGGGACCAGCGCAGGTCCCGAGGGACGCCCCCTCCCTCGGACTTCAGACTTCTGCCTCGCACCCCCACGCTCTCCCTCTGCCCCTCGCCCGCCGGCCCCGCCCCGCCCGGGGGCCTCACCATCGCTGCAGCCGTCGCCTGGCCCTCTCCAGCTCCTCTGCCCGCCGAGCGCCCACAGCGCCCGAGAACCAGGAGGAAGCAGAGGGGCGGGGCGGGGCGGACCGCCGGCCCAGCAGGGGCGGGGGGCGCGGGGCGCGCCTTCCCCTAGCGGCTGCCGAGACCAAGTCAAATCGAAAGCGGCCGGCGACGGCGATCCGGGTCGGTCGGGCGCCTCCTCCCGGGCCGCTGGCGCCCAGCTTTGGGTAACTCCCCAGCCTCGTGAATTAGGAGCTACGGCCCAGCAGCCTGGCACCGGGTCTGCACGCTGGCCACTCCTCGGGGGGCCCAGTCTATGAAATGGGCACAGTGGAGTGGGCTCTGGAGCGGGCTCAGGAAGTCCTCCCTGGGGCTGCATCCAAGATCAGGTAGATTGGGTTTACCTGGGGAGGCATCATTCATTCATTCAACAAGCATCTGTATGAGTGCCATTGTGGGCACTGTGCTAGGCGCTGGATACCCCTGAACAGCCAGGTGGGGTCTTTGCCCCCTTGGTGAGTGCGTCTCACCCGCAACCAAAAACCGACCCTAAAAGAGTTTTGAAATGAAAGTCTATTCACAGTAAACATTGTGAATGCACTACCTGCCACTGAATTGTACATTTTTAAGTGGTCGATTGCATGTTATATGAATTTCACCTCAATTAAAAAAGAAAGCAGACCCCCGTGAAGAAGGTGCTAGTTCTAGCTTTTCTGTAGTGCCCTCTTCACCACGAGGGCAGGTGCAGCCCTGCCCTGATATGACCCTGCTCCTCAGTCAGAGGATGGGTGAAGCTGGTGGCCCCTCGAGAGCCTTCCCTGGGTGAATCCCCAGTCCATACCTTCTCCTCTCACTGCTGCAGAGACGTCACCAGTCACCGATTCTCCACCCCACCCGATGTCACCATATCTCAAATGTGGCCCCTCTTGAGGAAGGGGGTTGAGGGCTTCCCTCCCTGTGCTTGAGCCCTTGAGAGCACAGACCTGACCCCTACCCTGGACTGTCTGGGTCCCAAAGAAGAGGTTTCATCCCAGTTCCTTAGACCTCGAGTCCAGGAGTGGATTGAGGAGAGAGAGAATGGACATAGTTGTGGCAAAGATTTCCCCAAGGGTCTCTTCCATGCTTTCCCCCTCCCTCCCCAGTTTTCAGAGCATGATTCCAGAACCTGACTTGCCAGTATGAGTCCCAAATCCTATGTCCCAACCCTTCCCCTTCCACACTCCCTCCCCAAAACAGGTTGTTTTCAATGCTAGAAAGCCTATGGGGGAAATAGGAACAGAGATGGCAAGAACCCTTCCCCCGAACTAATGCAGACTGGGCACTGGAAAGAGTGACAATGACGGTGGAACCTGGTGGGGAGGACGGAGGCCCAAAGACAGAGGCCCATTGTACATGGAGGGGAAGGAAGGCCACAGGCCCTGTCCTGTGACACTGACTGTGCCCAGCCACGGGACATGGAGCAGAGATGCTCGCCCCCTCAGGACAGCTGAGACCCAGAGGCCCTGCTAAGTCCCAGAAGGGCAGGGGCAGACAAAAGGCAAGGAGGCCTTTACCCAGATCCCTAAATGCTCTGTCCAGATAGACCTCATGTCTCGGCTAACAGTTCCAGCAGAAAAGTAATAAAGGGACATGGCAAGACTTAAGGGGGACACTTAGGAGTCTTGCACACCAGGCTAAAATGCCATAAAGGTTTTGAATTTTCCATATGCCAAGACCCCCAGAAAATTCTTGTTCGTGAGACCTGTGACAATGAACAGAATAAGGAGGAATGAAGAAAGACAGGGAGGCCCCGTCTTTCTTCTCCAAACATATGCTCTCCAACAACCTGGGCCTCAGATAGGAGAACCTTAGCCAGAGGGTGTTCTAAGGGAGAAAAGAAATAGAAGGTCCAAAGGAGGACTGGAAAGGGAGGAAGTGCCTCACACATGTAGGGACACTGAAAGGTCTTTATTGCCCACCGGCCACCAGCAGTTTCCCAGCCACAAGCTGGGCCCTCTGGGTCTCTCCAGCCAACTCTGAGGACCCATGAAATGCAATCACAGTCCAGCTCTCTCCTTCTGGGGGACCAAAGTGCTCCCTGGGGCAGACATTGTGGCAGAGGCGCCTCAAAGTGAGGGGTAGGAGGACCGAGCAGCATTCCCTGTGGAGAAGAGTAGGAGAGAGGGCCACTCGTGGCACCGGTTATGGAGGGTTGCCCCGAGGAAGAGGGCAGGGTGGGAGGGGGCTCCCTAAGTTACTTAATGGATGACACCAGTGGCAAAGAGCACAATGAGGAGGACGATGATAAAAACAATCACGCAGATGAGGACAATCATCTTCACGTTCTTCCACCAGAACTTCCGAGCCACCTTCTGCGACGTGGTCTTGAAGTGTTCGGACTGTTGGGGATAAGGTAGAGTGAGCCAGAGGTGCCTCCCACTGGAACAGGAGTACAAACAGGGGCCCATGTGTGATACACCTAAACAGTGAAGTGGTAAAGTTGAGGTAACAGACTGTTAAATAAAAACATGTTCTGTCCTCCTACCTTGACAAATATACCTTCATAACAATCTGGTGGGCCAGGTTCAAGTTTAGAATTCTTGGGCTCCCCCTGGGCCCCTGCCTGCCTGCTTCTCTTCTTACCCCTGCACTGGTCATGCCCAGTAAAGGGCCTTTTACACTCGCTCACACCCAGGGACACAACACTGGCAGCACAGTCCGCCGTTGGGAGGCAGACACTGGGGCCGAGGGGTGCAAGCTCCAGGTGGGCACCTTTCCTTGGTTCCATGTCTCCTTGCCCATGGGGACTGCTGAAGCTGAAGAGGGACCAGGGGGATATGGAGGTTGGAAGTGAGGGAAACTGCTCTTCCTCTCCCAACTTGAGTTGCAGAAATTAAGTTTCCCTGGGCCATGCTCCCCAGGTAAGGTTGCAGAAAGAAACACTGAGTCCCAGGAAGAAAAAGAAGCTCTACCCAAGATTACACACAGGACTCAGAAAGCCACAGCCAGTCCCTCGCCATAGACATAGAACCCTAGGCTCCAGCCTTTGTTGAACTTTAAAGTTACTCCCTCCCTGAGCAGCTGACTGGAGAGAGAGAAGAATGAGATCTAGCAAGATGTGTGGGAGATATTATTCTAGCCTTCAGCCAGCAAGGACCTCGGCATCAAAGACTCACTGCGCTTCCCAGATTCTTTTTAAAGCGGACTCAGCAAGACTCTAACAGTTTTCCACCCCGGGCCTAAGAACTGGAAAAGGTCAAAGGCCCAGGGAGGATTTTCCAGAGCCAATATTTTTGTCCTGGGGAGGTGAGGTCCAAATGGTTGTCAATGGCAGCCTTCAAAGGGAAAATCAGTTTCATAGGAGAGAAGCCTAAGAAAGCACGGGCTGGATGAGCCATCTATCTGTCTCAGAAAACGCCTCCAAGGGTCAGCCCCTGTGCCCCAACCCCAGTCACTGGACGCATTCCCTGGACCCCAGTACCGATCAGCGGGGTAGAGCAGAATCAGAGGTGGGGACTCAGATCCCATCAATTCCTAAAACAGGTGAAAAGGCAGACTTCCCTCCTATCCATTTTGCTCCCAATACCACCAAACCTAAACCCCCAACAACCCTCCCTTGCTCTCTTTTTCTCGCTCCCGTGGGTTCTCCATCTCACTGTGGCTTCCAGATCCTCTGTCTTGTTGCGGAGATGGTCCAAGTTTTCTCCTCGGGCCAGGATCCGCTCCACATTCTGGGTCATAATATTCTTGACTCCCTCCACCTCACTCCGCAGGTCCCGCACACGATCATTTCCTTCACCTCCACTGCCCTCCTCCTGGACAGCAACACAGGGGTTAATCGGGCCAAGTGGAGGAACTGAGACTCAGCCTCAGAGGCTAGAGGAGGGGAAGACCTAAAGTGGGCCTAGTGTTTTGTAAAGCTTGAAATGTTTACAAAGAGAATGTTTTCATGTATTACTCATGTAATCAAAACTAAATGCCTATTTAAGCCCCAGAAGATGAGAGCTGTCGCTAGACAGACCAGATCAAACTTCTTCTTGGGCCCTCCCTGACAAAGAAGAGAGGCATACCACTAATCCCTCTCCCCTGCTTCTTTGCTCCTCAGAGAGGGTCAGAGAAGACGGCTGAGCTGGCATCTCACAACGCAGAACCCCGGCGCTATCTCCCAATTCCCAGATCCCACAGGGTCCTTATTATAAACGTCTGTGCTGGCCAGCAGAATGCCCTCACCTAGCCCAACTCCCCCTCTCTCCAAGACATCAGCTGGAGAGCTGCTCTGCCTCTGGCCTCCCGGGCAGCCTAATTGCTGTGACCCAGAGCAACAGCAACTAGGCTCCAAGTATCCTCACAAGGCCCCAAGAGAGAGCCGTTGGGCCACAAACTTCTGCTTTCCCCACCACCTAGCACCAGGCGCAGGCACCACGCCACTGCCTGCTTAAGCAGATATTAAATAAAAGCAGCAGGCTGGGCAGTGGGGAAAAGAGAAAACAAGTCTTCTCTGGCTGATGCCTCATCATCACGCTTCATGATAAGGTTTTTAAACGAGGGAAAAACGTTATTAAGCTCCTCCCTCTCCGACCCACAGGACCTCCAGACACAGGCCAGGGATGTGGATCCAAACTAGATTATCGCAGAGAACCAACTTCTGGTTCTTTTACAAACCCTTAGCTCTCTTCCTCATGTTTATGGAGGGGAGGCCGATTCCCTGGACTGGAGGAGAGACAAATATTCGGAGTTTCTGTACAGGGATAAAGTGAAAGGCAGAGGCGAAGAGCTCCTGCCGCTGGGCTGGAATCTGCGCTGGGAACAGCAGAGGCGCTGCCCAGAGTGTCACAACACCCAGCCGACCGCGCGGGCTGGAGGAGGAGATGAAGGGCCGCTCGCTCGGCAGCTCACTGCCTGGAACTTGGATTCCCCAAGCCCATCCACCGAAGGCCTGCTCCAGGCCAGCACTGAGGTCAGGGAAGGAAGTCTAGAAGGAGGAGGAACACCCGCCAGGGCAGCTCAGAGCTTTGTGGCGCCAAGTCATCAAAGAACAGAGGCCACAGTCAGTGCCGGCCCAACCCTCTGACTTTGCCACCAACTCTCCTTTCCCGATCCCCAGCCCACAGGCCCCTCTGGCTTGTCTTTAAATCAGCCCCTTCCTAGTTCCCAGCTCACTCACCATGTCTCCGAACGGCTGGGGCCTGTCAGCAGCTGAACTTGCTTAGTCTGTTTCCTCTTGGGGCGGCCCTCGGTTCACTTCCTGCTTGCTCCAACTTTCAGCCCGCCCCCGTCTACCTCGCATCCCGAGCCGCTCCAGCCACACCTCACGCAGGTTCCCCCAGGTAGGCGGACACCTTCTACTGCCCTCCTAGTCTCCTCCCAAACCAGGGCTTAGGCTTAAAGCAACAGGGCTCCCTGGCGCCAAAGGTCTTTTTAACTGCTTAAGAACAACAACAAAAAAATCAAGCAGCCCTCCTAGGTTTCCTGAGGCTGGGCCTCCTGAAGGGAAGGGGCAGCCATCTCCTTTTTTCATGTCCTGAATACCTGAGCCCAATTCTTAGAGACTGAAATCGACTGTAAGCACCCTGCCCGGCCTAGTTCACAGGGAAACAAAACGGAAATACGAACATTTTTTGCTGGACAGCCATTGTTCCCATGTCCGTGGGTGGGCAGAAAGCACTAAAACTCCCAAATGGAATGCTGTGATCCGGACTCTGGTGTCAGAGTCTGAGTTACTAGCTGCATGACCCTGAGTGAACCTCTTTGCCTCTCTGGGTTTTGCAGGTGCTGATGCAGACCTCAGAGAGCGCTGGTAAGGAGTAAAAGGATTGCACAGGTAATGTGCCCAGCGCAGTGCCTGGACCGAAGGACTGTCCACTGTGCAAATCAGGAAACAATGGCTCCCTTCCTTCCAAAATTCAACAATCCTACATTTCCATTCAGGGGCCACCATGGGAGTTGGTGAGCCCACTCAAAAACGGTCAGAGGACTGCCCTATAAACCAGAGAGGGGGCCCGGGACAAAGGATTTTTCCACCAACCGGGCTCCAGGCCAGAGAAAATCCACTCTTCCCGGATGGTGTTTATCAAGTCAGAACAGTAACAGAGACATGCAGAAGGGAACATTCCTGTCCCATCCCAGTTCCAAGGGGGAAATGTCAGCTTCTCTAACAAATACTTTTTTTTTTTTTTAAAGATTTTATTTTTTCCTTTTTCTCCCCAAAGCCCCCCGGGTACATAGTTGTATATTCTTCATTGTGGGTCCTTCTAGTTGTGGCATGTGGGATGCCGCCTCAGCATGGCTTGAATGAGCAGTGCCATGTCCATGCCCAGGATTTGAACCAACGAAACACTGGGCCGCCTGCAGCAGAGCGCGTGAACTTAACCACTCGGCCACGGGGCCAGTCCCTCTAACAAATACTTTTTTAAAAGGTCTAATAAAATTTTGGACCTCTGTAGCACTTTGAGACACTTTATTCTAATTTATAATGAAATCTAATTCCCAATTAGATGATCATATTTTGCAGCCCTGAATTTTGGTGGACAGTACCAGCCTGCTTTCACAGAGAATGTGGCTGCCCCACTCCTCACCATCCTTAGAAAGGCTACAACATGGCCAAGTGGAGGCAGGTCAGAATCCTTGATCTATACTTGTGCTGTCCAATACAGAAGCCACTGACCACATGTGCCTGTTGAGCACTTGACATGTGCCTAGTCTGAAATGAGATGTGATTTAAGAGTAAAATACACACCAGATTTCAGACTTATTATGAATAAAAGAATGTAAATATCTCTATCTCATTAGTAGTTTTATATATTGATGACATGTTGAAATAATATTTTGGATATATTGGGTTAAATAAAAAAAAATATTGGGCCAGCTTCATAGCCTAGTGGTTAAGTTTGGCATGCTCCACTTCAGCGGCCTGGTTTGGTTCCTGGGCATGAACCTATACCACTGGTTGATGGCCATGCTGTGGCGATGACCCACATACAAAATAGAGGAAGATTGGCACAGATGTTAGCTCATGGCAAATCTTCTTCAGCAAAAAAAAAAAAGCAGCCCTAGATAGTATCGACAAGAATGAGTGTGGCTCTTAAAAAAAAAAATTATAGGGGCTGGCCCTGTGGTGCAGTGGTTAAGTGTGCACATTCCACTTCGGCAGCCCAGGGTTTGCTGGTTCGGATCCCAGGTGTGGACATGGCACTGCTTGGCAAGCCATGCTGTGGTAGGCATCCCACATATAAAGTGGAGGAAGATGGGCACGGATGTTAGTTCAGGGCCAGTCTTCCTCAGCAAAAAGAGGAGGATTGGCAGCAGATGTTAGCTCAGGGTTAATCTTCCTCAAAAAAAAAAAAAATATATAAAATTAATTTCATGTGTTTCTTTTCTCTTTTAATTTGGGTAGTAGAAAAATATAAATTACAAATGTGGCTCAAATTACATGTCTGTACTTCTACTAGAAATGGTGATCTATACCTTAATATTTATGTGACCTTGGACAAACTTACGTAACATCTCTAAGCCTCAGTTACCTCACCGTCTGTGCCTGGCACTTAAACATCCTCAGTAAACGGTGGCTGTTGTGATTACTATTATTAAGAGTTTCATATTCTAAGTGAGGTAGTGGATAGGGGAACATGAGTGGTACCAAGAAACAAAGGACCAGAGTAGGAGGACTGAGGGGAACAGGAAGAAATGGAGGGGGAACCCCAGCGTGGGAATAAGGTTGAGGAGTTCGGGGTCTGGTATGCCCCTGCCAGCCTTGGATGTACTTTGGTGTCCCTCAGGGAGCTGACCCTTGGCCTAGACCCAGCAACCATCGGGGGGGTTCCAAAGTTGGGCCTGTGACCTCTTCACCCTCATCTTCACCCGGCAGAATCCCTGCAGGCTTGGCCTCACCTGTGCAAACATTACGATGTTACCCTTTGTCAGAAGACCACCTTGCTAATACCCTCACAAGGTGAGACATTCAGTAAGGCATTGAACAACACATTATGAGCAGCAATGGGCAGGGTACAAGAAGAGAAACAAAAGTCATGGATTCCTCTCCAGTCAATGAAGGCCCTCTCCCAGGAGAAATGGAGTGTCAGTAACTGTGTAAGGAAAAGATGCTGGGCGGTAGGAGTTGCAGCGAAAGAAGCCATGGTAGTGTGATAGAGAGTGTTCTCAGTCCCCCTGTGATCAGAAGATCTGCGTATCAGCTCTACTACTCCCTGGCTGTGTGGTCTTGGGCAAGCCACTTCCCTCTGGGAGCTTCAGTTTCCTCATATGAAAAATGGGAATAAGAATGAAAGATGCTTTGCAAGGTTATTATTAGGATTGAATGATATGGGTATATATTTCTATATTTCTGCTAAAGCACTTTACAGATGAAAAAGGAGACTAATAGAGAAAATGGAATGAGAAAATAAGGGAAGAGGAAAATTAACAGCCTGCAAAGCAACTAGGCAAACTTTGGGGTACATTAGTATATATCTCAGTCTTCTTATTTATGGCCCAAGTGGGCAGTTTACTCCTGTACCTCTCAGGGAAAAGGCTAGAGAACAAGGAAAAGGCACATTCAGGAGGCTCAACTGGAATTGCTCCCTGAAGAATCATAAAGCTCTCATCACTGCCAAGGCCTCTTTTGTGTCCAAATCCTTCTTTGTAAGCTGTCACACAATGGGCCACCCCATCTGCGACACAGTCACCCCCCATCTCTCCCAATATGTTCTCTTCCTTTCTGACCATGCTCTTAGAACCCAAAGGTTCTGCCCTTGGCCGTCTTCTCTTCTGACTCTGCACTCTCTCCTAGAGCAACAGTTCTCTATGGGGTTGATTTTGCCCTCCAGGGGACATTTGACACCATCTGGAGACATTTTTGGTTGTCACAACTAGAGGGGTGTGCTAATGGGTAGAAGCCAAGAATGCTAAATTTCCTACAATGCAAAGGACAGCATTCTCGACAATAAAGAGTTATATAGACCAAAATGTCAATAGTGCCGAGGTTGACAACCTCCGTCTCCCTAGGGAAGTGCAATGCCTTTACATTTTCAACAGCCATTTATGGACAAGCCCCAAATCTTATCTCCAGCCCTGTGCTCTCCCTCAACTCTCTCAATTGCCATTGCTGCCTTTCCAATGCCCTGCACAGTCCAGAGACACCTCCAACAGCCAAACCAAACCCTTTATCTTTTCCCCATGTTCCTCCTCCTGGGTTAAACTCCCATGCTACCAGTTTCCCAAGCTAGGAACCCCTAAGCCATCTGACATATGCAATGGAACATCACTAAGTCTTGATTCCATCTTGGTCTTGTCTCTCATATCTACCCCTTCCTTTCCACACCAACTCCTGCTTCCTAGGTAATGCCAGCATACTCTCTTCTCGGAATAATTCCATTCACCTCCAAACTAACCTTTCTTTGTCCATCCATTCCCCACGGGGCTGCTTGTTATCTTCCCAAAACACAGATTTGAGTATGCTCCACCCTGCCCCAAGGGTAAGGCCCAAACTCCTTAGCTTGGCATTCCAAGACTGTTCTCAACCCGCTTTTTGAAGCTTACCTCCCATGAGCCTCACCTCCCAGCCCCCCAATCATACCAAATTACATGCCCTTCCCGAAACACACCATCCCTTTTTATATCTTTGCTCAAGTGGACTTTTCTCATGATGAATGAATATGCTGCTTCACTCATCACAGCCTATGAAAAGTCTATTCATATTTAAGACATTGCTTCCATGAAGCCTTCCAGATTTCCCTACTGAGGTTAATGTCCTCTTTTTTTTTTTTGAGGAAGATTAGCCCTGAGGTAACATCTACCACCAATCCTCCTCTTTTTTTGCTGAGGAAGACTGGCCTTGAGCTAACATCTGTGCTTATCTTCCTCTATTTTATATGTGGGATGCCTGCCACGGCATGGTTTGATAAGCAGTGTTAGGTCCACACTGAGATCTGAACCAGCAAACCCCGGGCCACCGAAGCAGAGTGCACAAACTTAACTGCTATGCCACTGGGCTGGCCCAAAATAACTTTTTTTTTTTGTGAGGAAGATTGCCCCTGAGCTAACATCTGTGCCAACCTTCCTCCATTTTATGTGGGATGCCGCCACAACACGGCTTGAAGAGTGGTGCTAGGCCTGTGCCTGGGATCCAAACCTCCAAACCCCAGGCTGCCGAAGCTGGGTGCGTGAACTTAACCATTATGCCACTGGGCCAGCTCCTAACATCCTCTCTTTTTTTTTGTTTAAGATTGGCACCTGAGCTAACAACTGTTTCCAATCTTCTTTTTCTTTTTTCTCTTCTTCTTATCCCCAAAGCACCTCAGTACATAGTTGTATATTCT